CAATATGAAGCCACGTTGGTATAACTGCAATGGGCACTGTCCTATAAAGTGCAACCCTGGATCTACTGGATCCTCACTGCTGTGTCCGCTGCCATCTGCATTGTCGCCATCATCTTTGCTATCTTGGTCAAGACCACCTATGAGGGTCAGTACACCAGCGGTGTTGATGGTATGCGCTTTATAGATAATACCTATCAGACAACTGATTGCTCTAATATGTTCGTGGGTGATGCTACTTGCCCTGGACTGGCCTATCAGGCCTGGCTCATGAACTCGACTGAGGCCAGAGATGAGTGTTTATCGTCGAAAACACCATCTAATGCTGCAACTGCGGCCTCATCTGGTTGGTGTGATGCTTCCAAAGACGGCTGTTCGAAGCCGGACATGTGCCTCAAGGGGATGCCCTATGACTTCTACGCCTTCAACGTTACTAACCCTGCCGAGGTCCTCAAGGATGGGGCCAAGCCCATTGTGCAGGAGCTACGCCCTATTCACGCTGCTCAGACTCAAGAGCGTATCGAGGCCTCGGTTGATGTCGATAAGTGGAATAAGGAGGGTATTGCCCACTGGAATGAGACCAACACTTTCGTCTTTGCCGATAAGGATGAGACCAATCTTTTGCAGGAGAAGGTGGTCGTCCCCAACCTCGCTCTTCTGAGTACCGTCACTGAGATGGGCCAAACTGTGAACACTATGGACATGCTACAGATGCTTGGCACTTGTGGTACCTACCAACAGTTGGCTAACACGGTTATGGGTATGATGAAATTGGCTCCAGCTGTGATATCTAATCTTATCACAACTAAGTTCGGCAGTATAGAGGCTGCGATTAAGTCTCAGTATTTTGATGCTGGCCTGACTCGTATGCTGGATGATGGTGAGATAAACATGCAGGCTGTGGGTGCTAAGCTAGCTCCTCTGGCCAAGGGTATCGACGTTTCTAGTATGCTCCCACCGGCTAGTATGGCGATCGACTACTTTGCATATGCCTTTGGTTGTGTTGCAAAACAGGACGCTGATCATAGCTGTAAGTTTAACCCTGATAGTCGGGCCGATGTGGACCTCGAGAAGAAGATCCTCGGGACCTTCTCGGAAACTTCAAGAAATAAAATATTCAACTTCATGATGAAGACTAATTTCACGGATACTACCGGTGCTGTTGTCGCAATGAAGATGTTGGAGATGACTCTGAAGCCATCTGAGATCGAGGCGTGGCATTCCCAATTAAACTATGCCGGCTCGTATGGGCTATCTAACTATGACGCTATGCGGTACACTCTCTTCCCTTACGCTGATCCAAGCAGCGCTGTCTATGATGCAGACTACGAGTACTATCCGAGGTTCATACGAATGACGGTGGCTCAGCTTCTGGGGTGGAATAATGAGTCCTTCAAGGATAAGTTCAGCGGTGAGGAAGTGTCGATGGGCGTTGCCAAACCTGTAGTTAATGGTGCTCCTACTGAGCAATATCGTAGTAGTAAGATACCTGGTTGGAAGGGTCTCAACTACTACAAGATGTATAATGGCCAGGCTCAGAACTGTGCCTTCGACCGTGACTGTATGGCTCAGGACTCCTTCAAGAAGGATGGTACGTGTACAGCTGACGATGTGTGCACCCCTAACTACGCTGATGGTTGGGACGCTAAGTTCTTCCCTGGTACGCTGACCGGCAAGGGGACGGAGGAGTATCATAAGAAGGACGCCTCGGCCAGACTGTTCGTGGGGCAAATCTTCTCAGCGGCAACGCTGAAGAACATCGAGACTGACGCCGATTGGGATGGTGCCAAGGTTGACAAATGGACACTCGCTGACATTGACTTTCGCAACGAAAATTGCGATGGTGCCAACCCTGATGATGCCCAGGGTATTGACTGTGATTCGCCTTATCTCAGCTTTAACCTCGGTTACTTCGCCTCGCCTGACCCAGCTTCTATTATGGTCCCGGTGTATGCCTCTCTCCCTCACTTCGACATCGTCAATGGATCCTCCTCGAGATCCCAGAACTACTACCCTGGTGACCGTGTGGACATCCTCTCTTGCAGTGGTGATCCTGATTGTGAAGGCGACCGTGACTTCCGCATCAACGTGTGGACTGAGCCTATCTCTGGTGCCTTTGTGAATGGACAACAAAAGCTGCA